GGCCTGGCACCTGCAGGTTTCTAATAAGGTTTCGTTATATTTCCCAGCATCTATACAGCACCTGCTCGTGTACCTGTAAGCATGGGGGAGGAGTTTAATACAGGTAGGTTGGGCAGATTCGTCACGAAGCCAGTTATTATACCAAACACTACACTACAGTGTCATTTTCATCTTATTTTCCGTTTTGTCACACCAAATGGCTGTGGGATGCATAGTGTCAAAATAAAATACGTTGAGAACAAGTCTCTAAAAATGTGTTAAAATAAGACAAGATAGATAATTCGAGGCTTCATTTCTTTAGTAATACCTACTGTGCTATAAAAATATTTTTAGATTTTTTTTCTTTGTTATTTTGTCTAAAAATACTTGTATATGCCTGAGAAAATATTTTTCATTAGACGATTAGAGTAAAATAATTCCGTACCCTACACTATAGCGCCATCAGTCGGGAAGGCGTGGTCACACGCCTGACTGAAGTGCGTTAGCTGCTGCTAGTTTTCCTCAGTGAATACATTGACTGTCCCTCAAGTAAACACGATTCCAACCCCAAAAATAAGTTAAGATTCTTTCAAATAATAGGAAGAGTATATATATTACGCAAAATAGCAGGCTACCACGAAATGCTTTGTTGTACCACCGTATTTGCATTTGCAGGGACTACACTGCAAAAAATGGCTTATCTTACTTAGTATTTTTGTCGTTTCTAGTCAAAATATTTAAAAATTCTTAAATCAAGATACTTTTACTAGATAAGCCAAATGACTTAAGATATTTGGTCTTGTTTCCAGGGGGGAAAAAAACTAAATTAAGTGCATTTTGCTTAAAACAGGTAAAATTATCTGCCATATTTTACTTACCCCACTGGCAGATAATTTTTTGCAGTGTAGTAGCCAGTCTTTTCTAAGACTAAACTTAACTTGATGGTCTTTGGTGTCAAGGGTAATACAAAATGGTATATCATTTTAATTTAGTTACAACATTTCATACACTTACAAAAGGTACAATGGTGTTACCATGTTTCTTGACATTGCCACCAAAACCATGATGGTAACACTATGGTATCATTTGAAGTACCTTAGAATCATTAGATCAACTGTTCTCAACCAGAGGACAGGTGACCACTAGGGGCCTTAGTAAACTTCCAAAGAGCCACAATGTCTAGTAAAATGTTTATAGGCCTATTAATTAATATTTTAATATGTAAACATTAATAAATTAATATGTAAACATACAAAGCCACTGAAAAAAACAACAACATATTTATATACTTCTGGAGAAAAATCAAGAAAAACATCAGCTAAGTGCTCTCAAATTAAGATGCAATAAAATTATTAATTTGTAAAATTATTTTCCTTTAAATATCATCATCAGTAAACTACAATTTTTGTATTGGCAACATATAGCAATACAACAATAATTTTAATTAATTTACCAAAAATAATCGCACAACAAACTCCATAATCTGAACATTTTATTTTTTGCCTTGTTAATAACAAAGTTTGTAATATGTTCCATTCTTTAGATACAAGTAGAAAACAATTTCTTTAAGAAACAGTCAAAAGGCACAATTTGTTTTTTTTTGTTGTTGTTTTTTTTTTTTTTTTTTACAATATATACAATTGGATCTAGATTATAAATAGGCCTATAGAAAGTGACAAAAGCATAAGAACACAGGAATAAAACGGTTCAAGATACATATAGTCAGTAGCATGTTTTTCTTTCATAGCAATAAATTACGTAAAAGCCATATTGATATAAAAGCAAAGCCAATGAATCGAGATGTTTACAGAATTGAACATTCCCATGAAGGGCTATGAGCAAACAAACATGGCAGCACTGGATCACAAACCAGACAGAAACTCATTTATGCTGTTTTAGTGCAAATCATACACAGAGCAAGTCAAATGGATTTCTATTTAGTAACAGAGACTAATTTGACTTTGTCCCAGTTTCATGGCCTCATCGTATAGTGCTTTCATTGTGTAAAATGCTTTATTAGAATGCATAACCGAAACTTAAGTCACATGTTCATCTTACTGGCTGTTTTTAGAGAGGCACTGAGAAAACTAAATGGATGCACTATAATATCATGGAACAATTCAAATTCTTGAACGAGTATGTAACAACAATATGCAGGAGAAAGAAATTACATGTAATTTCACATAAAAATTTTCAAGTGCAAATGTGGCTGAAAGAATCTCCCTCAATGAAAAGAATAAAATAAACTGTGCAGTGAATATGCAATAATGGCTAAATAAATAATATTTAATATGTGTCAATGACAGGATTTTACATACAAGACAAACCATATCTTTACGCAGACATTAAACATTTGGATATATTTGATCTAAATTAAATAAAAAATCTTTAACTAATTGAACATAAATTTCATCCTGAGATAGGGAGTGGTTTTAACACCATAGAGCCATGAATTTATGAAGTGAATATTTGGGTTTCAGTTCGATATTAATATCTCTCTATTGCTGTGAAAATATTTAAGAATGTATCAACTGCATAAAGAATGAAGATAAACAGAAAAAAGGAACAAAATATTCAACCACCCAGTGCAGCAGAGCAATGTCAATTGCTGTCTGCACAATTACAAATATCATAGTATCAATAAAACAAAATATAAACAATAATCTAAAACATGTCCCTTTCAAATTAAATAAGAATAATCAAGTAATCGTTATACACCTTACAATTATTTAAAACATTTGACAATGAATCTATTAAATAAAGGGCTTAAATTCAACTAGATAAAAGTTTGACTGTACCAGGGATGCCTTTCGCATCGCATCAAATGATGAAATCTTTTTTTTTTATTTCTTTTTTATCCACTCTGGATTGTAAGGAAGGAAGAACTTTTTAGTTTCTAGGTCACAATGAAAATATTGTACTAACAAAGGGACTAAGTGCTACTAAATGCCTTTTGGATGGATGCACTATAATATCATGGAACAATTCAAATTCTTGAACGAGTATGTAACAACAATATGCAGGAGAAAGAAATTACATGTAATTTCACATAAAAATTTTCAAGTGCAAATGTGGCTGAAAGAATCTCCCTCAATGAAAAGAATAAAATAAACTGTGCAGTGAATATGCAATAATGGCTAAATAAATAATCTTTAATATGTGTCAATGACAGGATTTTACATACAAGACGAACCATATCTTTACGCAGACATTAAACATTTGGATATATTTGATCTAAATTAAATAAAAAATCTTTAACTAATTGAACATAAATTTCATCCTGAGATAGGGAGTGGTTTTAACACCATAGAGCCATGAATTTATGAAGTGAATATTTGGGTTTCAGTTCGATATTAATATCTCTCTATTGCTGTGAAAATATTTAAGAATGTATCAACTGCATAAAGAATGAAGATAAACAGAAAAAAGGAACAAAATATTCAACCACCCAGTGCAGCAGAGCAATGTCAATTGCTGTCTGCACAATTACAAATATCATAGTATCAATAAAACAAAATATAAACAATAATCTAAAACATGTCCCTTTCAAATTAAATAAGAATAATCAAGTAATCGTTATACACCTTACAATTATTTAAAACATTTGACAATGAATCTATTAAATAAAGGGCTTAAATTCAACTAGATAAAAGTTTGACTGTACCAGGGATGCCTTTCGCATCGCATCAAATGATGAAATCTTTTTTTTTAATTTCTTTTTTATCCACTCTGGATTGTAAGGAAGGAAGGACTTTTTAGTTTCTAGGTCACAATGAAAATATTGTACTAACAAAGGGACGAAGTGCTACTAAATGCCTTTTGGGATCAATAAACCAATCAGCTAACAGATTGTTACCGTTCTGTCTTATTACATTGCGAGACAGGGGACAGCAGGACAGACTGTTCTATTTTAGAACAACAGAGAGACAGCTGCACAGGTAAGTTACGCTCTCCTACTAGCACACTGTTTCAAGGCCTGATAAATAAAGGCAATAAATACATTACAAACATCTGCACGTGAACGGTACAGGAGTATGTGTTTACGTCTACATTCCACTGTCTGTTCCAAAGGCACATTTCAACAGTAGCCTGTTCTCTTGCTCCTCAGGAAAAGTGTTTTGTCTAAAAGAAGTTCATCATGGAAATGTAAAGCTGATGATTGCCCAATGCAAAACAAAACTTAAGCTCCTTGCCGAAGTGAACTTTGCGCTATGTCTTGCATATGTGAGGTTTGTACAACTTCAGCTAGGCCAACATGGAATCTGTGGCCACAAAAAAAAAAAGATCCTACAGAAAGAAGATACTTGAGGCACCATTCGGGGTTCCTTTTGGTCGGCACATTGGTAGAACCCTTTGGAGAACCTCAAGGCACACTTTCAAAATGGAGAGTCAGTAATGTTTTATAAGGAATGTACAGCCAGTTCCTTTAGTAACTCTAAAGAAAGTTTCTCCAGTGGCCCCTTTATAAAAGAAAGCCTTTTGGGGCACTTAAAATATATACTGAAGACCTCTCAGGACTCAAATCACATTTGAGGCACCTTTAAAGGTGGCTGGTGCTTCCCCGGAGGGTTCCTGCAACGAGGAACCAAAATGGTACCTCAAGTGTCTTTTCATTTCTGCATGCTCCATCTTGAGCAAAATCTTTAAGCAAAATATACTGTACGATGTGGTATGACATAACCTAAACAAACCTTAAATCGTTTTCACTCTTGGTAAATCAATACTCTTTAAAGCCCCAGTGTATAAAATTCCGGATGTTTAAACTGGGATGACAACCTCGGTAACTATCCATAGTATGGAGACAAAATGTTTAGGAACACCAGACTTCCTCCCATCTTATGAAGCAGAATCTCATGCTTGTGGAACCGAGGCCAGTGGCGGAGCAGGACGCCGGCAGTGGTCAGACTACAGCCCCGCGTGTGTGTGCGCGTCTACAGGAGAGTCCGACTGGAAGGATCTCACTCGGGTTGTGGGTACTTAATGACAGACTGCCGTGATTCTGTTCCACCTTGCAGCTGCATGCTCCATCTTGAGCAAAATCTTTAAGCAAAATATACTGTACGATGTGGTATGACATAACCTAAACAAACCTTAAATCGTTTTCACTCTTGGTAAATCAATACTCTTTAAAGCCCCAGTGTATAAAATTCCGGATGTTTAAACTGGGATGACAACCTCGGTAACTATCCATAGTATGGAGACAAAATGTTTAGGAACACCAGACTTCCTCCCATCTTATGAAGCAGAATCTCATGCTTGTGGAACCGAGGCCAGTGGCGGAGCAGGACGCCGGCAGTGGTCAGACTACAGCCCCGTGTGTGTGTGCGCGTCTACAGGAGAGTCCGACTGGAAGGATCTCACTCGGGTTGTGGGTACTTAATGACGGACTGCCGTGATTCTGTTCCACCTTGCAGCATGTTGTTCAACACCTCTCGTACGTTTATGATGGCTTCAGAGCTGCAGTGGCTGTTGGGTACTGGGAGCATCTGCTGGTCCGTAGGGGAGAGAGAGATGCGCGACAACAAGGAAGATGATGAAGGTGGTGTGAGTGAGTGAGTGAAGTTGGACAAGGAAGAAGAGGAGGAATTTGACAAGACCATGGGTACCGACAAAGGTGCATCTGAGGAGGAAGAGGCAGGGGCAGTCTGACTAGGGGGTGTTATAAAGGAGTTCAAAGACAGTATCATGTCTAACAGTTCTGTGTCCCGTGCTGAACTGCTTTCCTGTGTGGCCTGGCTCTCCTGCTGTGGTTGTTGCTGCTCTTGAATAAACACTTCAAGGTTAAAGTCGTCCACCATAGGTTCGGGTTGCCTGGAGAGGTTGTCTACACCCAGGTCAGCTTGAGTGCGAACTTGGGAGGAGGGCGAGGATCTTTGAACCGACAAGTCCAGGATTTCTTCCAAAGGGTATTTTATGGAAGGGAACGAGGGGAAGGAGATGTACGGAGTGGGTAAGCTGGCCAGGCTGGGATTTGGCAAAGATGAGGTGAACAAATTTTGGGAGAAAAACTGACGCTGTGCCATCAGCCTCTGTTGCTCCTCAGCCTGACGCTGCTCCTGAGCTTGCTGCTCCTTCTCTCGATGTCGCTGCTTCACCTCTGCATCCATCCTCACCAACTCCTGACGCACCTTTGACATGCAGTTCTCTGGGATTTTAATACCTAGGTTGAAGAGAGAACATTAATTACAAGATGCCGCCTTCTTTCAAACGACTGCAGTGGTTTTGTTGAACCTACAACCTTTTGGTTTGGAACTCCTCAGGAAGGGTTAACGGGTTGACTCACCAACTTGTTTGCTGCTGTCTTTGGTTTTGAGCCGGACAATTTGGAGAATGCTGGAATTGGTGATGTCAGCGACCACATCAGACACACGCTTCCAAACGCGGAGCAGAGCGCCACACAACATGTGATACTGACGCAATCGAGTACCCATTAAGCACTCCTGACCCTCCTCTACCTTCTTACACCTCCCGTTCCTGCAGGAAACATGCATACACGTTAAATCCTCTGAGCTCAGTTTGACTAGTACCAAGTCAGAAGTCTGGAAGGTTTTCTCACCAGTTAGCATGACTACATTTCCTGAAGGAGAAAGTGAACTGGTTTTCCCAGCTATCTTGTGCCTCCTCTGGAGTGACCTGAAGCAAGGGGAGAAAACATCACTTAAAAACAGTGTCTTCAACCTATATTGCTCACTAGATGTCAGCAGAGACGTTTTCCACACAGCAGGTTCTGATCATTACATTTATGATGAAGAGTTTGAACACACCTTGTGGTATTTTTGTTGAAGGTTATCAAGGCTTTCCGTTTGGGCCTGCTTGCCGATGTTTGGTTTGTAGATGATCATGTTGTGCTCCTGGCCCTGCACGGCTAGCAGCACGCATGGGTAGTTACCTCTCAACTGCAAATGAGACAGGCACAAACATGTTCAACTCTAATGACACATGAACCCTCCTTCACCCCTGAACAGAAAGGTTCTTCCAAGGAACCATCTTTTCTGTGTTACTACAAGGAAACTACATGCAAATTTGGAAAGATGAGATTTTTTGCTCATATACTCACTTTATGGGATAAATAGAAGCCTTCGTCCGGGTTGCTGAGAGTTTGGGCCTTCTGGAGAGCCTCCAACCATGTCATACCTCTATCTACACTTATCTGTGCAACAAAACAAACAGTTCTGTCAGAGATAATGCTTGTCAGACATGTCCACAATGGTTGGACTAGTGTCCAACATGTCCTGGCTATGACTGGATCCCAAATTTATGAGAAAAAGGTATCGCAGTGTGGTTTATTCTCGGTCAAGGAACTGCTTACAGTAATGGCTGTTAAACCAGTCCTCATTGCATAAGCTGTCAAAATAAACTTTGCTCTTGGTGGAAGGGATGATTAGCATGTTTTGTAGTGTATGTCACACATGAAACTCGTGTGCCTTAGGCATATTTTCTGAGCTCTGCCATTAAAGAGTTGTTTTGTTTGAACCTCTGCTTCTACTTAAAAAAAAAAAAAACTGACCTTATATAGGATAACTTGACCATCTTGAGGGTTTCCCGCCGTTAGAAACTTCTCCTGTGTTTCCTCATAAATCTGGTCATTTCCTGGTGCCAGATCTGAGAGAAAGCAGAAATCTTCATGTTGTCATCTAAGCAGATTAATGCAACTTAAAGTACCACACCAACAGAAGAAGTGCTGCTTACCCAGTATTCCCATATCATATTTGCCCTCTTTCTTGTCCTTTTCGATCAAGTAGTCGAAATTGTCCGTAAAATACTGGAAGAGGGAGTTCTGTTTGTGCACCTCCAGGCCCAGTATCCGGTTGAGGAACTTGGTGATATTGCAGTCTGAAACAACATGAAGTCACATGATGTAGGGAAATATGTGGATGTGTGTGATTAGCATGTGAAGAAATGTGTCAAGTGTGGACAAAACAGATAAGATATGCAATATGTCTCTTGTGGAAACCTTACCTTTTTCAGTGTTGATGCCCAAGCGTGAATTACTGCATAGCATGCCTACGTCCATCATACCGTGCTTCATGTCTAAGATTAGAAAGCATTGGTAGCTTTGGTGAGATTAAGGTTCTAGCTGATCCACATCTTAACAGAATAATGCACAGAACCGGTTTACCTCTGAAGAACATGGAATCGCCACCAGGATAGTCATTTGGAGGGGGTACCTTGCTTTCAATCTGACCAAGGATGGCTTTGGTAATCTTATCTAGAGCTTTGGTGCCATACTATGAGGAACAGCCAAAACAGACCACGGGTTAGTCCATGATTTATCTGAGTATTTTTAGCAGTGTCATTGTTCTATATCAAACAGTTACTCACTTTATTTTCAAAGTTGTACTTGCTCAGGTCTCTAGACTCTGTGGCCCTCCTGTCACCATGAGTCAGAGCTCCCTGTGAAAAGCAAACACATAGGTTAGAAATGTCAGGACCAAAGTAGTGATTTGAACGTAAGGTTTTAGGTATATGAGAAGTACGGAGTAGAAGTGGAGTGAGGAGAGAATTTTTTTTTTTTTTTAAGTCCCAATATTGTTCCAACACATTAATGGCCCATAATTTTAAGAACTCACCATGTGAAACACAGTGTTTCTAAACTATTTGCAGTCAGAACAAAAGAAAGATTTTGTAAACATTATTTGAAAGAAATTAAATAAATTAGAAAAATACAAATTATGCAAAATCCACTTTTACATGGTGTTTGGACATATATGTGTGCTAGCAGTGTGTGAACACAACCACCCTACAATAATAAAAATCCACCCACTCCTTATTTTTTAATCCCCATTAAAACAAATCAGTCTCATTAGGCATGCCGTTTTGATTCTCTGAGCATTGTGATGTCACATTGTTTAGGCCCCGCCCATGGTTGCTGACTGACACCGCCGTATTAGCAGAGCCCCGCACACAATATCTTCACGCTAGAGCATTTAAAAGCAGCATTCAAGTTAGAAATTAACTTATTAAAGCTATAGAAGTTATTCGGTCAAGAGCAGTGAGTGATTTTCTGTTTTTATTTTATTGTTTGGGTCATATAGTATAGGTACTGCATATTACGCTGTTGTCACTTCATACACAGATCTAATATAAGCATGCAATTTCTTTCCCAGCTGTTTACCTTTACAGACATAACTGACTGTTTTTGTAACATGTTTTTAACATAACCTTGTGTATTTGACAGTTTAAGAGTAATAAGACATGAAAGAGAACTTAGTTTAGTGCTCACATGCTGTGTGACAGTTGCTTTCTGTGTGCGCTCAGAAAACACTATATCAGAAGTTTAAACTGATACGGCTTTAAAACGCATGATTTCAGCGCGATATACACAATAATCAAAACCAAACAGATGTTTTTTGGCAGAGTATTTGAGGTACCAGCTGTAAAGGCACAGCCCTATCCTGGAAAAGGGGGCGGGGAGAAGAAGCTCATTTGCATTTAAAGATACATGCACGAAAACAGCATGCTTCTGCTTCCTCTCAAAATAGGCATTTTCAAAATGATCTAATAAATTATCTGTGGAGTATTTTGAGCTGAAACCTCACAGACACATTCTGGGGACACCTGAGACTTATATTACATCTTGTAAAAAGGGGAATAATAGGTGCCCTTTAATTATATAACATGTTAATGCAAGCAAAAACGTGTAATAAAATATGTGACCCTGCACCACAAAACCAGTCTGAAGTCGCTGGGGTATATTTGTAGCAATAGCCAAAAATACATTGTATGGGTCAAAATTATAGATTTTTCTTTTATGCCAAAAATCATTAGGATATTAAGTAAAGATCATGTTCCATGAAGGTATTTTGTAAATTTCCTACCGTAAATATATCAAAACTTAATTTTTGATTAGTAATATGCATTGCTAAGAACTTCATTTGGACAACTTTAAAGGCGATTTTCTCAATATAGTTGTATCTCGACCAAATATGGTCCTATCCTAACAAACCATACATCAATGGAAAGCTTATTTATTCAGCTTTCAGATGATGTATAAATCTCAATTTTGAAAAATTGACACTTAAGACTGGTTTTGTAGTCCAGGGTCACATATATGTAATTACAATTTTTAAAGTACTGAGAAATGGAAACAAACTAGAAGTTAGCATGTCAAGAACGCACCAGGCTCTCCAGCCTCTTTGCCACGATGGACGCAAATCGTCGCTCGCCTGCCAGTTCGGAGATTAGGAAGATGTACTCCGGTGCCGTGACCTGATTGGAACGATGAGTACGACCTGAGGAACAGAACGTTTTATCAGCTAGTTGTTTTGGTACAGTGACACTCTTTATGGGAAGAGAGCTTTGATGACAAGGTTAGAGGCTGTGGAATTATTGACGCCATGTTGGGTGTTGACAGTGTAACCACTTTTCAACAGCATCGAAGCACTTGTGATCTAGCCTGGAGATGGTAGACTGTCCCACTTAGAGTAGACAAAATAACTAGTGCATGGCCACAAACTTAATAGGTAGACATAAGGCAATGCTGCCGACTCACCAAACTGCTGGATGGCCCTGTCCGCACTCCAAGGCAGCTCCAGGGTCATGTGAACCCTCCGACACTGATTCTTCACCCTTCTGTCAGCTTGAAGTGAAATCCCAGAACTGGCCGCTTCTGATATGATGGCTACCAACTGAAGGGAGTAAAGCAGAGTGTTACTGGATGGACCAAAGGAATCGGAGCCGAAAGGTTGGTGATTTTCTTTCTGAGATTTACCTTCTCTCCATTCATGAAGCGATCTTTCTCTTTGATGTTGATTTGGTCGATAGTGTGGCCCTGCTCAGCGCGAGACTCATATTGGACGCTGCCGTCAGACCGACGCACCACTCTGCCTTTACGTCCCGTCATCTGGGCGCATAGACATAAAAGATGTTTAGCACCTGGACACAACCTTGTTTTTGAAGTGTAACTATCCTTGGACTATTAAAATAAATACATAAATAATGACCTCTGATACTTGTTCTGGACCTCCAAATTTATCAATGAGCTCATCCAGTGTGTTAAGAGGTAGTTCTTTTCCCAGCTCAGCGATCTTGTTGAGAAGCCCTTGTTTCATCTCCTCTAACCGTGCTAAGAAAGGGTGAAAGCGAAAATCAATTGCTTATGTTTACTTCAAAGGTGCTGTAAGTGACTTTTTTGGGGAGATAATATGAGTTGCACCATATAATACACAGTCAACATACCCATTTGGTAGCTGGTTTGATTGATGAAGATGACATCGTCAGTGTTGTCTTGGACTGAGTCTGGCGAGGAGTTGGAGTCGCTGTCCATGGCGTCAGACTCGGTGCTGCTGTCATCGCTGATGTTGATCACTCCCGCTACATCAGTAATCTGTCGGGGTTGCTTTGGCTGCCGTGCCCGTGGCTTACCTGCGCAAGAACGTTCAATCAAACCATGAGGCCGAAAGCAAAGACAGGCAATGTATGGACAGTGATACTAACACACAACACGACTCACGTTTCCTCTTGTTCCCAGCTCCTTTTTCTCTTCTCTGCTTCTCTGACGGAAAGTGTTTGAGGACCAGAGACTGAAACACACCCCTGAGGAACACACAAACACATTATTGTGTCAATAAGTCGACTAGAAGAGGTGTTTTTGTGTAATGGCCAATAGCTTAAGGAAGTGGTTATTATCAGATGACACTAGGTTTCAGAATGATACATGGCCTGTGAGATGACCACAGTAACATATTGAGAAACCTTTCTATCATTGTGAAACTGCAAGAGCACTACTCTGGAAAGAAGTAGTCATAAGGTGGCCGTATATTTTAGAAAGGTTTCAATGATGCCCAAAATTCACTTACTCGGCAGCAGACACAAATCTGTCCAAGTGTCCGTCGTTTTCGTCAAGGACTTCTCTGGTTCGAGCCTCACCTGTTGACTGTAGCCCTATCACGACACACTAGAGAGAGGAAAAAAAACTGTCAAATGCCTTAGCAACAAATAATAATGAGAGAGAGTTCAGGGTCGCTGATCTGACTGACCTTCCCTGCTTCCAACTCTTTTTTGGCCAGTTCCACCAGGCAGCGCACCTTGGCAGCGATACAGAGGTATTTAAAGAAACGCTGGTGGGATGACCAAAACTGACCCCATAGGGATTTCCTGGAGCTCATGCAGAGTTCGTCAGCGGCCTGCATGAACACGGCCAAAGCTTCCGCCCACTGCAAAGGAGATATCAGATATACGTGTCAGATGTATGTACACAGCAAAGTAACACATTTACAGACCAATTTAGATGGTACTTCATTTAAAGGGACAGTTCACCCAAAAATGAAAATTCGGTCATCATTTAGTCACCATCGTGTTGTTCCAAACCCATACATCCTGGTAACTCTTTTTCATATACTGAAAGTGAATGGGGACTGAAGATGTTAAGCTTCAAAATGACAAAAATGCACCTTTAAAGGTCCCCTGAAATGCTTAGAAACACGCAGGGTTACTCTATGTGTTGACGTCATTTTAACTGAAACAGGAAGACAGGGCGGGACATATCAAGCTGCTCCGCCCCTTTTTAAAATAGCCAATAGCGTTCGTTTATATCACAGCTTGGGCTAGAGCCGTTCAGAGCCGTTGAGCTCTGTAAAGCCGCATTTGACAGGGTATGCCAGCCACAATCTCATCCACATTGCTATAAAGATTTCAGCCGCGGCTTCAGCGTCTATTTTATAGTGTCTATTTTATTTTATAGCGGGCGCTTCGGATTCTAGAGAGCATTTGATTGGACAGAAAGTTTAATGAGAAGCTGAAGTACGATGTGACGTCAAAAAAATTGTTGAGCCATTTTGGCGGAAGTGACGAACGGCAAGCTTTGAATGCTTATATATCTTCTAAATGCGAATTTTGTCACTGTTTTGGAGCACACTGCCTTATAGATAACCTCAAAGTCCGCGTGAACCGGAGGTTGCTGCCGACTTTATTTCAGTGTAGTGACTTATTTCCTTCTGAAACGGAATATTGAATAGAGGGCATGGTTTTATTTTGGCGCTCCTCCTCTCTGTCTCTCACTCATATCAATCTAACAGTTGGAGGGGTGTGTTTAAAAGGATATTCTGCCCAAGCCGTCAAACTGACATCATCAGAGAAGGACTGCCATTCCAGAGCAGAAGCAAATGTTCAGATTTTGATTAAAGATTACCAAGACAAACAATATTTTGGGGCTTGACAGCACTAGTCCATATTCTCTTCCATTTTATGGAAAAGGTCATCCAGAATATTCTTTTAAAATTCAGGTTTAGATGTCAATTAAAATTTTTGGGTGAACTATTTTAATTAATTAATTTTTTTCTGAAGATGGTTCTGTTCAGCGTTTTGTACCTACTGGATAATAGGAGATGTCTTCAACAAATATTATATTCAAATACTTGTTTTCAACATGTACACTACCATTCAAAAGTTTGTGGTCAGTTCAATTTTTTCAAAATCCTAAAAAAATGCTTTCCCAAACACATTAAGCAGCACAACTGTTTTCAACATTGATAATAATAAGAAATGTTTCTTGACCAAATCAGCATATATGATAATATGATCATAATATCATAATATGATTTCTGAAGGATCATGTGACAATTCAGCTTTGCCATCACAGGAATAAATTACATTTTAAAATATATTAAAAGATAAAAACAGTTATTTTAAATAGAAATATTTACAATAATACTGTTTTTAACTCTATTTTTATCAAATAATGGTGAGCATAAAAAATCTTTTGAACGGTAGTGTGCAATCAACAAAGCATAGCCTTTCTTTACTTTAAAGTCTTAAAAAATTTCCTTTGACCAACAGGACTAACCACTAACACACATTAAAGTAGAAGTGAGGGGAATGGCTTGGATTTCAGGGATTCTTCTCATAACTCACAAGTTTAGCAGCTTTGTTGTACACAAGTTTGAAATCATCATCCAAGCTGATCTCTTCTATGCGGAATGAGACTCCTGAGAAGCTGAGTTGGCGTGCGATGTACATCCCGCTGACCTTCATATCCATTGCGACGATCTCCATGGCCCCCACGCCCCTATAAATGAAGAGTACATTCAGATTACATATCCATAAAGGACTGTTTTCATATTTGCCAGCCAACAAGTTCATGCTCCTGTGCAAACCTCTTCTCAATGGCGTGGAGGAAGTCGTCAAAGGTTCTGAAGGGGGTTCCCTCTCCCCAGATCCCCAGACGGCTCATATAGATCATGTTCTTTGGCTCCGAGGCACCTGTGGCACTGGCATACACCACTCTGGCCAGTGGCAACTTGTTCTGCAGATCCAGCACGGCCTTGCCCATCTTTGTGGATGTTGCATTTTTGGCTTTGTGGCATTCGTCAAATATGATCTAAAGGAAACCTACTGTCAAGGGCAAAACCAGCTTCATTGTTCACCCTCTTTTTTTTCCCCCTGAGGTTTATAAAAATAAAAAAATAAAAAAAGTCCAACCGGGGTCGGAAACAGACCCCCAAAGAAGTTGCAATGGGGCAAACAGAAGAAAATAAAAAGTTTTTACAAAATGTATTTTAACTGTAAGAACTAAAATTTTGTTAAAGTAACATGAACATAACAAACATTATACATATTTATATAAAAAAAAAAATAAAAAAAAAA